TTTGAAAATGGAAAGGCGGGAAGACAAACCGAAATCTACTGCGCATGAGCAGCGGTTTTTCCGCCGTGCCGCTATGAATACTTCTGGAAACATGCCGGCTTCGTTTTGCTGACGCGCGTAAGAATTCTTAGCCAAAGGTCAAGGAACCCGCAAAGGTAAAAATTAATCTAGAGACATGAAGACATGAGGAATACTACTATTACTATTCGACGTTAAGACTGCTTGTCAGATCTGGCTGCAATTGGTTAGATCCTAGAAGCCTCCAAAAGAAGCTTTATTGCGTTGGATCTTTTAATTTCATTCAATCACGACAGCGGGAAATTAAAATAAGTTTGCAATTCATCGAAACCGAAACTGGAAATGCTTGTTGGACTAAACGCCATGTTATTTACATTTCCTAAGAATTATATAACCAAAAAACCCTTTCATGTCAAAACACTTCAAAGTCTGGTAGCTTAAGCTTCTTCTCGTGGTGTTTTCACAATGCTGGGTTAAAAAGCTTTAGATCTCCTTGAGCGTCTATCCACTGAAGGACCTGAAGCTCAGTGACTCACGTGAGCTACGTGACGTAACTTGGCATCAAACAAGGCATAACTGGCTGCAAGGTGCTGGGACTGGTTGAACCGCGATTGCGCCTATTGTCCTGTTTTGGAGATGTCAGCCAGATTACTTGGCGCAAAAAAAAATTCCTTTTAATATTAAAGAGAGATTCCGGCTAGCGAAAAAATTTACAAAGTGCTCGCTGCTCGCACGACAAATTTTATCACTGCTCGTGCTAGCAAAAATAAACGCTCTGCTCGCATCCTCGTAAATGCTTGCAAAGACCATTCGATACCCCTCGAATGTGTTCCGATTGAGTCAGGATGGGTGCACCCATCCTGACAATGGTAGCACAAAGTATTTAATTTCGTCTCTTTAATGGTTAGCAATCGACGAGTTTCAGTTCGGCAAAGTTCCGAAAGAAGCAGGGCTGTTACTCTGGGGATGATTGCCTTGAGGTGGTAGCCGCTTTTGGGCAACTGAAACGAGCAGCATTGTATCGTTTTAAGGAGCTCAGTCATGATCAGTAACGGCATTTCGAGTTATTTTGGCCACGTACATTAATCTGAAAATGGTAGTATTGTTTTTTATAAAACCCCAAGGGGATAACGATAAACCACAAAGGATCATAGATGTTAAAGGTGGAGAAGATTAACACAGATTACAAATGACGAACTTAAAAAAATTAGTTTTAAATTTCAAGATGAAAAAAAAATTTTGCCGTGGCTCCTTTACATACCGCGCTATCTTAATGGTACCAAGAAAACGCGATACGATGTAGCTGATCCAGCTATATTAGTTTGTGTTTTAATACTACGATGGGGCAGGAGTTTCGTTTCATACCTAACTTTTTTCCTCCCTTCGGGGAAGAAACGCTTTATTGTAGCCTCTAATACGAATTCACAAGGGAAATTGAAATGAGGACATAATTATACATCTACATCTACACTTAGTTAAGTCGGTAAAAATCGTACTGCAAAAAATCTGAATAAAAATAAAACAATGGGTTATTAAAACTAAAACATCAAAACTAATATTAAAACTAATACAATGGGATATTAATAACTATTAACTAACTTTGATTGATACTTAATATCCGGAATGATTAACCATAGCTAAAAATGCTGTAACTTTTTTTTTTTATTGGCTAGGCTGGTTCACTGGATGATTCACAAGCAGGTCCTCGGTTCACAGTTATAAAGAACCTCTTTCTCATGGCGTTTCCCTTAGAGATTGCATTCTTATTACGCAACATGCATGGACATGCATTCGATTAGTGGAATTATAGGAATGTCTGGTGTATAACAGATTAGCAATTTGCTGTTATTTCACGATATTATTGACAAGTCGCTGATGAAATTGATTGAGCTGTAAATCTGAGTAAAACACCATCTTCTCACGCAATCAACAGGCAAGCCCCAGTCTCCAGCATTTTTTTTGTTTTTTTTTTTTTCATAAGAACATAACCAGAATTCCAGATTAGTCACATGGTTCTTGAGTTTCACCTTTTAGGTATCACCAGCGAGAGCTACGGCCACTTTTTAACGACGCTACGTTCCAGATTACATGCAACCATCAGGTTTAAAAGTGATTAAATGAACATCTTTTCCTTTCTCTCTCTTATCAATCTTTTCCCATTTGATTGCAGAATGAATATATCAAGCGCCAAGAACGAAGAACAAGAATGGAGGTCTAGTACTAAAGATTATGAAATCATCCTGTGGTGCACAGTATTTATCCTTACAGTCATTGCAATACTCTGCGCAAACATCTTCGCAATTTTCATTTTTACTACGAAGAGGTTACTGCGCAAGCGCAACAATATACTTCTCATGAATCTTGCCACCGCTGACTTGATAATTGGAGGCATTGCATTCCCTATGTTCGTTAGCATTTTCTACATGTCGTCTACACATTATCAATTCAGGGACATGATTTTGAACCAGGTGTACATCTGCGTGGACATTTTTGCTGCGTTGTCCTCGATGATGATCTTGGCAGTGATAGCCTTGGAAAGGGCGTTTTCTGTCTTCTTTCCCCTTAAACACCGATGCACTTCCAGACGATCTAGATTCTACTGGTTTTCAGCGTCCTTTGCGTGGATCATGGCTGCAGCTCTTACTACTCCGAAGGCTCTCAAATGGAAAGCAGTAATTCCACCGTCATATGACAGTCACGTGATCTTTGCATTCGTTTTCCTTGCTCTCGTCACCATCATAGTCGCGTATACGTCTATTTGGACAAAGATCAAATCTCGTAAAAGAAATAACAACAGTTTTGCCATCAAAGAGAAGTCAGTGGTTCAAGCAATGCTGATAGTGACCATTTCCTTCATAATGATGTGGTTGCCCTTCTTTTTGATCAACGTAGCTGTCAGTTTTGATAATCAGTTACTGCAAGTGATCCCTCCGAATGTTGTTTACTTTGCTAAATTAATGCATTATGGAAACTCTTTTGTGAATCCTATCATATATTACTTGAAGCTTCCACAATTCCGCAAGGCCTTACGTAAACTAAGTTGCAGAAGTTCGGCGAGAACAGATTTAAACGTTTAAACAACGTCACCTGGAGTGAATCAGCTAACGAAATCCCAATTTGCGATTTTTACAATTAAATTTGCCATGACATGGAAATATGTTTTCGGTTTTAATATATTTATTTTTTTATACAACAACTCTATTCATACTTTCTTGTACCTAGACATATATCATCTTTAACTAAAACTGAAAAGATTTCAATCAAGTACATTTATTAAGCGTTAATTCAAAATCGACTAGAAGGGTCAAAAATTGTATTTTGATGCAATTAATTACTAACCTTAGTGCTGTTGGAAATGCTCAATTGGATAACTCAACCGATATTCTAGTTTCCCACCGCAACCGTAAAATTTGTACAGATATTGACAAAGGCCGGTCCTTTAAACTTGTATACTTTTACTGTATGGTAAAAGGCTCAAGATGAAAAAGAGAAGCTGATTGGTCCCCTAAGTGGTCCGCATTATTGTAATATAAACCACTCACGAACTTGTAGTTTCGACAACTACAAAAACAACAACCAAAAGATCTTTATTTTCCGAATACAAATACAACTATAGTTACAGTTTTAGTACACAGATAAAATAGCTTCGGCTCACTTTTTTGTGAATTGCATCAAATGTACTTCAGATGAGTAGGCCCAAAAGGAATAGTAAATGTTATCAGTTTGAACCTTTCAATATGCCATAAAGATTTTCATATGTTATCCGCAGAAAAGATCTCTCATTTTATATGCCTCGATCCCAAAAGATCTCATTTTATCTCATCAATTATCATTTAAATAGGTCAGAGACGATCGTCTGCTTTTCAATTAACATTTTATCAGAAATAAACGACAGGTGGTATCGAAAATCGGAGATACCCTCATCATATCAGCATCGGCAATTTGCCACCGAATGCTCGGGGGCGGGAATGTTTTCTCAGGCAGTGGATACCACGATCCTTCCTTTTTCTCTCTCTCTCTCTTTCCCTTTTTCTTTTTCTTAATTTTCTTTTCTTCCTTTGTGCCTTCTGTGTGTTTTTTCTTTATTCTAAGAGGAGACGCACTAGGCTCCTACGTATTGTTTTCGTGTGGATGATGCACCAAAACAAGTACGCCGGATGGCTTATGTACAGACCAGACATGAAAACAGACAATGAATTTATCAAACTGAAGAATAAGTGAGTAATCCAACACACCTACGCTAAAGATTTGAAACAACAGATAAGGTTAAGTTTTAAGTTTGCCCTAGCTTAAGGGCCTCAACGCTTTGGAACCAAACAACCCTTACAAATAAAAGCACTTGCAGATAAGAGATTTCAGTATCTTTTGTGAAGCGTAATCAAGATGATTTCCGCATAACACTCGAGCAATAATGGCAAAAATTAAGTTACCAAAAAAACGTCATAGCACGGTAATATTTTGAATACAGTTAAGACGAACTTATCGAGACTTGAGCTCTCAAGCTGACCCCGCGAGAGAAAATTGAACTTGAAGTTATCCATATTCCAATTAAAACACTTTTCGCGTTAGTTAAGAACACAATAAAACACTCTTTAAGCAATCTTACGAGGTTTGGCTTTAACTTTCCCGAGAATGCTTGAGAGTTCAATCGCGGGGATGAACTAAAGTGAGTTGTTTTAAATAGTATTCCAAAGGTTACCGTGCCATGAGTAGATTTTTAGTAAATAATTTTTGCACTTATTGCTCGAATTTTCGGAGCGGCATCTGTCTTAAACTCCACGTAAACATTGAGTAGCTGGGCCCTATATTGCAGGTAAGCTGTCCGTTCTGATGCTAGCTTTTCATAAGTAATTTTTCATTCGAATAATGCGGCGATGGCTGCCCCAGTTCTTCTGCTACCAAAGGCATTTTTTTTCCAAACTAGAATCTGAATATATATTCGTTATGCGGATCTTTAAATTGCACTAACATCTCGACCGTTTTCTTTTCTCTACTTTTTAATGGCATCAATATGTAACTTTGAAACGGCGCAGTTTCCTTTTGCTTATTTTTGTAATCAACTGTTTTTGATTGGTCCTGATTAAAGTGACGTGCACTGTTTAAAATGAAAGTCGGGCACTTATTATAGAGGCCGTGAACTTAAGGTTACAGTATACCTTCAGATCGGCAATTTTCTTCAAATTTGGATTTTTGGTTCAAACTAATGGTCGAAGAGTAATCTCTAATTTCTGAAA